CAGGCCCAGAGTTCAGGCCCTACGACTGGACCCCAAAAAAAAAAAAAAGAAAAGAAATATCTTCAGTATTTCAAATAAGTAGTTTCGCAATTCAAATGCAAACAGAATGCTTAAAGTAAAATTATTTTAACTTGCATAAATCATTGTTAATAAACAGCCAACTGAAGGTAACAGAAACAAATTGTAGATTCAGTTCTAGCATTACTAACAATGAACTAAAGTTTAATCTAATTACCTTAGCTAATATGCAAATTAGTATTTTTATATTTTCTCTGTATTTAAATGAAATTTTTCAGTGAGGTGGAATAAGATGCAACATTATTAAGAGCTAGAGGAGTCAATTATTTCCTCACAATTAAAACTGATTAGCCGACTATATGAAGTTTCTGCTATCTTTAAACTTTATCAATTCATTGAAATGTGTCTTAACCATTTGCTATGTACCAGGCACTCTTCCCTATTTTCACAATAAACTTACCCACTGAGAATAAGGGACCACATTGGCCAGAGCCATAGCTATAGGGAGCTCTCCCTGATCTCCCATCATGGTGACCAATTCCACAAGTCTCTCAAACCGATCTGCCAAGACTGTTTCTGCAAGGGTGTCAAATTCTGTTCCTTGTTGAAGGATTTTTGTGAGCACTTCCATAAATGTAGCTCTTGTCTGGAGATCCTTGTGATAACCTAAACCTGATATGAAAAGATAGGTGGAAATTTACTAAAATGGCCTTGCTGAAATAGTTACTACTTCTATATATGTTGTTCTTTTATTGTTTGACTGATTTTGGTGCAAGAATTAGGGTTTAACTCAGAGCCTCAGCTCTCAGCTTTTTCACTCAAGGTTAATGCTCTAACCCTGGAGACACAACTCCACTTCTGGCTTTGACTAGCTTACTGGAGATAGAGTCTCACAGACTTTCCTGACAGGGCTGGCTTCAAGCCTCAATCCTTAGATTACAAACTCCTGAGTATGTAGGATTACAGATATGAGCCACCAATGCCCAGCTCTACTACACTTATCTTAGGGCACACCTCTCTAGACTTTATATTTCAATGTGAAACTTTCATTTGATCTTACCTATGGAGTGCATGAGTCCACTGTCCACATTAGCATTGAGTAAATTTGACATTGCAAGGACTGTACAGTGCCTCAGGGATGCCAGCCTCCGAGACATGCCACGTTTCCTGCCACCTGTTTGTGCATTTTCATCTTCAACTTCACTACAGTCATTCAAAAGGTTCATAAATAACGTGAAGTACCTGAGAAATACAAAGGCTGACCCTTACACACTGAAGGTCATGTCAATCAGAAAGCTAATAGAATATTCTGGAATAATCACATAAACATTGCATAAGTGACTATGGGTATTTCCTTATCTCTAGTCTTGGGATAATCAGCCAGGGTAGCTCATTATGAAGCTGCCCTAATGAATATTTAATCTTGACAAAACACACTATCATCTCACCAATACAAAATAGATGCAATGTTTCCTGGTTAATATGTCATTTCTAAGATTTAATATGTAAGAAGAGTGATCAAAATAGTTTAGAGAATGCTATTTTAAAGGAATTACAAGTGAAATTTCATTGTTCACATTGTTTTCCTTAAAAACTACAGCACACTTGTTTTCCTATCCCAGGCCTGCCATCTTTGAGTACAGCTTCCTACGAAAGGTATAATTTTGAAGATAATAGCCAATTGCCATAATTCTAAATCAATTAGGCCCATTTTTTAAACATAATCATTTGTCACTTTGATTACACTTGCTTTGTGGAAGGGGTGAAAGGGACTTTTTTTGCTTTTTGCTTTTTAGTTTTAGTAGCTGAAATTTACTTAAGAAATAACTGTGATTTGGCTTCCATTAATTCCACACCATCTCCTTCCTCAGGCTGTAGCGGAAGACCAGCGAGGAGTGAAACCACTGCTTCCATGCTTGCTTGGTCCAAATCTCTGAACAATAACAACAAAGAAACTCAAATCTTTCAGGTTCTTTCATTCCATCTTCCCCTCAAATAAATCTCTTACTAACAGACAAACTTTAGAAATTAACTACTTCATTAAACAAATGATTAGCACAATCTAAGTATTCTGAGTAAATATGCAGAGTTCAGAACAAAAAACATATCTCAAATTGTCTTTTTTTTTTTTTTTTTGCCAGTACTGGGGTTTGAACTCAGGGCCTAGGCACTATCCCTGAGCTTCTTTTGCTCAAGGCTAGTACTCTACTACTTGAGCCACAGCCACCACTTCTGGCTTCTGTTTATGTGGTACTGAGGAATCAAACCCAGGGCTTCATGCATGCTAGACAAGCACTCCACCACAAGCCACCTTCCCAGCCCACACATTTCAAATTGGAGAGAATATGATAATAACTATCTGCAAATTAATCTTGGCATAATGATGACCTTTAATCAGGAAGTATAGTGATGGAGATGTAAGCTCAGTAAAAAGAGGGCCTATTTATTAGCCTTTATCAGCCTTGAGTTCAATCTACAGCAACACAATAACCTAAGTAATTAAATAAATAAGCAACCAATCAAAAGTATGTGCTGTCAAACTAGGCCAGACCAAAAAAAAAAAAAAAAAAAGCAAATGCTTTATTATGTAATTCACAGTACTTAATCATTTTCTAATATTGACATATTAAGACTTACTCTTCGAAAAGGCTCAACACCTTTTATCTATCTAAAGTAATTTCTTTTTTTTTGGGGGGGGGGTCCAGTCATGGGGTCTGAACTCTGGGCCTTAGTGCTGTCCCTCAACTCTTCAGCTCAAGGCTAGCACTCTACCAGTTGAGCCACAGCGCCACTTCCGGCTTTTTCCCTTTTTGCTTATTTGGTGTTAAGGAATCGAACCCAGGGCCTCAGGCATTCAAGGCAAGTGCTCTACCACTGAGCCAACTTCCCAGCCCTAAAGTAATTTCTAAGTAAATACTTTAGGTCTTATATATCATCTTTCCAAGCAACTGTCAACAACTCTTCCTAAGTTGACAATGTGAAAATATAACATTTTCACATTTGTTTTAAGACTTTTCAGGTATTTTTTAAAGGTAATAATAAAGATTAATACATCTGTATATTTCAAATGCAAAAGCGTGGCACAAAAAATAGCTTAAATACAGCATATGTGTAATAGCTATAATAAAGAGTTTAAAGCCTTAGACTAAAGCCAGCTAATATTTAAAAGTTATTATCTTTATTTTTTACCTTGTAAGACATTTCACATCGTCATCTGCTGCCTGGTTTGAGGTTCCCATAACCCAATCTGTCAAATATTCTACCATCTTATTCCTAAAGGATAGTGAAAACAAAGAAAATAGTACACACATTAAGAAAAAAAAATCACATACATCCCTTTACACATGGGCATCCCTTTACACATGGGCCAGGGTCAAGTCAGGGAAACTGGGAAAAAACAAAGGAAGGTGTGACACTGTCCAAGAAGCACTGTATTCATTACCTGACTTGTGGAATTGTAACCCCTTTGTACAACTCCTTAATAATAATAATTTTTTAAAAATTTAAGCTGGGTACCAGTGACTCATGCTTATAATCTAGCTATTCTAGATTATTGTGGTTCAGAGACAGCCTGTGCAAAAGGTACTGAAACCCCACATCTCAAAAAAATGCAGGAAAGCAGGGCGCTGGTGGCTCACATCTGTAATCCTAGCTACTCATGAGGCTGAAATCTGAGGATCGCAGTTCAAAGCCAGCCCAGGCAGGAAAGTCCGTGAGACTTTGATCTCCAACTAGAAGACCGGAAGTGATGCTGTGGCTCAAGTGGTAGAGCCCTCGCCTTGAGCTGAAGAGCACAGGGACAGTGCCCAAGCCCAGAGTTCAAGCCCCACAACCGACAAAAAAAAAAAAAAATGTAGGAGCTGGTAACCAAGCCCATCATCCCAGCTACATCAGGAAGCATAAAATGGGAAGACGGTGGGCCTGGGTAAAATGGTTAGCCTGGGTAAGAGACTCTAACTCAAAAATAACCAGAGCAATGGAGGTGTGGCTCAAGTGGCAAAGAAACTACCAAGCAAGCATAAAATCCTGAGTTCAAACCTCATATTGCCCCCCAAAACTAAATTTATTTATGTACATATGTATATATATATGTACATCCATAGGATCTATTCATGTACCCTGGGCTGTTGCTCAGGCTGACCTAAAACCCTTGATCCTTGGACAAATGTGGTGGAGGATGTACTACCACACCCATCAAGATTTGTGTGTGCATATGCTGGTCCTAGGGCTTGAACTCAGGACCTGGGTGCAGTCCTTGAGCTTTTTTTTATTTCTTCTAGGCTAGCATTCTACCACTTCAGCCACAGCTCCACTTCCAGATTTTTGGTAGTTTTTATTAGATACAGGGGAGTCTCACAAGCTTTTCTGCCTTGGCTGGCTCTGAACTGCAATCCTCGAATCTCATCTTCCTGACTAGCCAGGATTACAGGCTTAAGGCACTGACACCAGGACCCATCCATTTTTTTTTTTTTTTTTGGTCCAGTCGTGGGGCCTGAACTCTGGGCCTGGGCGCTGTCCCTCAGCTCTTCAGCTCAAGGCTAGCAATCTACCACTTGAGCCACAGCGCCACTTCCAGCTTTTTTCTTTTTGCTTATGTGGTGCTAAGGAATCAAACCCAGGGCCTCAGGCATGCAAGACAAGCGCTCTACCACTGAGCCACCTTCCCAGCCCGGCCCCATCAAATTTTAATTGTTGTTGCTATCTCTGAGTTTTTTCCTCTCAAGGCTAGGTCTCTACCACTTTGAGCCACAGCACCACTTCCAGTTTTCTGGTAGTTAATTGGAGATAAGAGTCTCACGGACTTTTTTGCCTGGGCTAGCTTCAAACCACAATCCTCAGATCTCAGTCTCCTGATTAGCTAAGATTACAGGCATGACCCACCACTGCCCCTAACTCTGACAAGATTTATTTTTTTGGGGGGGTGGGGGGTCCGGTCATGAGCCTGAACTCTGGGCCTGGGCACTGTCCCTCAGCTCTTCAGCTCAAGGCTAGCGCTCTACCACTTGAGCCACAGTACCACTTCCGACTTTTTTTTCTGCTTATGTGGTGCTGAGGAATTGAATCCAGGGCCTCATGCATGCAAGCGCTCTACCACTGAGTCACCTTCACAGCCCCATGTCAAGATTTTTTAATAGTGCAAATTGCTAGCCAAATAACCCAGGTGTCATGACAACTTTATAAAAGGGATATTACTGTAAAAGGGCATAAACAAGTACAGCTTAAAAACTGTTCCTCCACATTAGCACTTTGCTGTGGTACCAATTTGCAAACAGAATCAGATTCTTACTGCTACTATGGCACAATTTTAGAAAAAAAGTAGGGTTTCCATGAGTGCAAACTTTTGAGAAATTTGAGAAGATATTCAGAAAAAAACAAAACAAACCCAAGATGTAAAATGCTCCTTCTCTGCTTAATAACTGCACACCTACTATTTTTCTGTATTCCATTTAACATAATATTGACAAGGACCTAGTTTGTTCTTTTAGAACTCACCTAAATTTCATCTCTTGACAGAATGAGAGATCATCCCTCCTTGCCATCATTACTTCAACTAACTGACAGAGTTTGGTTTTTATCTGAATTGCATGGACCATGTTCCCAAGAACACGAACATATCTATTTAAGCATAAAAACAAACAAAAGACATTATCAGATATACAAAAAACATTATCAGATATAGACAAAAAAGACATATTCTAAATTCTTTAATCTCTAACTAAAATGACTTAATGTAACTTTAGACATAAGAGTCAAATCTTATTTAAATAAGACTACATACAACTTATGGTTATCTGATTATTACATCCTATTTTGGATACAGTAAAGAAAAGGATACCAAGTTCATCAATAATTACCACTATCAATACCTAGGAGGTTTTTCTTACCTCTTAAAATGTTTCCAGTCCATTCGAGTAACAGAATGCTTACCTGACCAGATTTAACATCATTGTTTCAATGCTAGCTTGTCCCAAATGTTCAGAGCTGCCTTCAGTATGATTATCTAGTAAGTTCTTCATTATAGCTATGGTTTGCTCTACAAATTGAGTATTGGTGTCAGTCAATAAAACCTACAAAAGAACAAAATATATTAGTGATCTTCCATTAACGCTCAGATTTCAGGAGGTAAAGAGATGAAACTAACTGGCCTAACTACTATACAGAAACACACATGCACATGCATGCCCTTCCCCCACATACACACACTGGCATATACTCAGAGATATAAACAGGCACTCTTTTTTTTTTTTTTTTTGTCGGTCGTGGGGCTTGAACTCTGGGCCTGGGCGCTGTCCCTCAGCTCTTCAGCTCAAGGCTAGTGCTCTACCACTTGAGCCACAGCGCCATTTCCAGTTTTCTGGTGGTTTATTGGAGATAGGAGTCTCACGATCTTTCCTGCCCGGGCTGGCTTTGAACTGTGATCCTCAGATCTCAGCCTCCTGAGTAGCTAGGATTACAGGCGTGAGCCACCAGTGTCCAGCTAAACAGGCACTCTTATTCATACCAAGACATTCATAACACCAGGTACACTCACATGTCAGAGTTACTAAAAAACAAGCTGATCCATACATTAAATGACTCTTCTTTATGTATTTTTTTACTATTTTTTTAAAATGATAGAGAAATATTCATGCCAGTAACTAATTTAAATAACCTAAAAGAAAAGGCTTCATTAATTCAAACATGCTATCCTTTTCATAAGAAGGGGAAAAAATAAAGCTGAGAACACATTACCTGTCCTTGGGAATCAAAAAATTTGCTGATGGTATTCTTCAGTTTGTTAAACAGCATTGGATAGAGAGCAGGACTCAATTCTAGACCCACCAGATCCTTAACATTGGTCCGTATTTGAAGTCCCACCTTCTCATGGTTACACACCATTAAGGATAACAGACGGTCCATAAATTTGCTGACAGGTGTATCTGTGTTTCCATCTGAGGACATCACTGAAATCATGGACCCTTTACGTTCACTGACGGGGCCCATGGGTGGGCTATAGGTTGCCAGTCCAGAATTACTTCTCTGCTGTAGGCATACTCCCCCAAGGGCACAAAGGAAGCCAGTCATGTTGATCCATTCCTGTAGGGAATCTGTATCAGACAAATCTATGGATCCTCCTCCACTCACATGAGACATCCGTCTCTTAACAATGGTCTTGTGAAGGCTTTCAGTAGCCTAAACACAAAATTTTTGTAGGAAACATGAATTCAAGATAAGTTGAACAAAACCTGACTAATTACTCTTGATCATTTATTCTAGTACAAAATTACATTGCTTTTATACATTTTCAAAAGAAAAATTTCTAATTACTATATACATTTTAAGGAATCCTTGACATATTTTGTCACAGCGAGATTAATAAAAATCAACTCAGAATAACAAGTCTTTATAGACACTTTGATTTACATAGATGAACCTTGAACACATTATTTTATGTGAGAAATAGACTACAGTAATTTAAAATTCCATTTATAGGAAATGGCTAGAATAGGAAAGAGAGACAGAATATAAAATTAGTGTTCTCCTAAGGCTAGAGGATTGGGTCACAGAGATAGGAAAATGGGGGTAGGGAGGAGACAGCAGAAATAACTAAAAGGCATGAGGGTTTGAAGTTTTCTCCAAGATGATAAAATTGGCTATTCTAAAACTGACTGTATGATAATTACATAATTCCTTGAATACATTAAAAAGTCATGCAATTAGACACTTGAAGTGAAAGAACTGTATGGCATGCACATTTTATATTACATAGTTACTCATCCCCAAAACCTTTCATTCTGAAGTTATATATTCTCTTTGAATAACATTAGGTACATAATTTTACTTTATAAAAACCACAATGTGGGGCTGGGAAGGTGGCTCAGTGGTAGAGCGCTTGCCTTGCATGCCTGAGGCCCTGGGTTCGATTCCTCAGCACCACATAAGAAAAAAGAAAAAAGCTGAAAGTGGCGGTGGTGGCTCAAGTGGTAGAGCGCTAGCCTCGAGCTGAAGAGCTGAGGGACAGCGCCCAGGCCCAGAGTTCAGGATGGACCCCCCCCCAAAAAAAACCCACCATGTTAGCTGGGCACCAGTGGCTCATGCCTGTAATCCTAGCAGCTCAAGAGGCTGAGAGCTAAGATTGCAGTTCAAAGCCAGCCTAGGTAGGAAAGTCTATAAGACTCTTATCTCCAATTAACCTCCAGAAAACCAGAAGTGGCACTGTGCCTCAAGTGATAGAGTACATGCTTGAGCTGAAGAGCTCAGGGACAGTGCCCAGGCTCAAAGTTCAAAACAAAGCAAAACAGAAAAAAAAAAAAAAAACTCACGTTTTTCTTGTTCTAATTAACCATAACAGAAAGAAAGCAATGGGACCAGGCGCTGGTGGCTCATGCCTGTAATCCTAGCTACTCAGGAAGTGAAGATCTGAGGATTGTGGTTCGAAGCCAGCCCAGGCAGGAAAGACAATGGGACTGTTATCTTCAATAAACTACTCAGAAAACCTGGAAGTGGCGCTATGGCTCAAGAAGTATAGTGCTGGCATTGAACACAAAGTAGCCCAGGGGTAGCACCCAAGCTCCAAGATGAAAGAAAGAAGAGAGAGAGAGAGAGAGAAAGCAAGCAAGCAAGCAAGCAAGCAAGGGGAAACAACCAGCTTCTTTTAAACACCTAATATAGGTATACAATGTAGGCATAGAAATAAAAAATATAAAAATACCAATGAGGTAATAAATGATAATTGTTAATAGCTGATGAACTATATGATAATGGTTGAACAAAATGTTTAAACTTTTAAATTTCATTTAATATATGAGGGTTTCAATCTCCTGCCTACTAGATCTTAATCGGAATATCTAACAAAATAGCAAAGCGAATTGTTTTATCTTTATTTTTCTCTACTTTTGTCACTTTTCTAAAAATTCTGCAAAATATCTTGGTGAAGAGAAAAAAAGCATGAAAGAGGACAAAGGAGTAGGGCACTATGATCCAGTTACTCAGGAGACACAGGTAGGAGGATCATAATCTAAGACCAGCACACCTCAATAAATCCTATCTGAAATATAGCTAAAGTAAAAATGGCTGAAGGCATGTCTCAAGGAGTATAACTAGCTACCAGTACAAGATCCTGAGTTCAAATCCCAGTACCACCAAAATGAAAAGAGTAAAGGAATTAATGTTCTCTAAAAGTATTATCCAGTGTTAACTAACTAGTAACTAACATAAGAACTAATATAGGAAAATAAGTGCAATAAACTTGGCTACTGGATAACTGAGAAACTCACTTTAACTATATTTAATTTTAATTAATTAAAATTAGTCTACGACAACTATATATTTAGTATCCTATGAGTGATTTACAAAAGACTATTTCAGTGAAATGGCATATCTATTAATGGACAAAAATCAACTTTACAGACTGACCTGGCCATCTTCCATTTTGGCTTTTGGATAGTTAAGAATTAGTTTTGTAGCTTGTTCCCATTTTGCATGTGTATCTTCCCAAGCCTAAAATGTGAAGGCAATTGTCACTTGAAAACAAATATAAGCCAAAAGCTAAAAACCAATCAGCAATTTGCTAGATTTCAGGTTTAGTATCCCACATCTCATAGGTACATATTTCAGATTTACTTCAAATGCTATTCCTGATCACACAGCTAAGAGAGGCTTCTAAACCTGAGAATGGAATCCAGAATGAACACTGAGGGCCTACCTCCGTGTTTCCTGCCGTGGGATGCTCAATGCGCCTTAGCAATGCCATCACTCTTTTCTGAAGTGCTGCTCTTCCTAAGCAAAAACAAGGACAAATCAAATTAGAGCATTAAGAGCTCTGCTTCTCAAAGGAGAACCTGAAAAGTCTCACCCCAAAGGCACAATAAAAAGAATGAAATGAATGCTTCAGATAATAAAACTGAACACTTCTCTTCACTAACCTCATAGCACAAATACTTATCTTAAACTAGACAGTGTCCATAGTATTCTCCCACCTATGATTTACTCAAAAAATATACTAATGTGTATAAAATTCAGGAACAGTAATTTAGATCATCTGAAAGTAATCTACACGGCCAAATAATTTATCAAATACATGGCACATTAAAAAATCCAGGCAACTGGGGCTGGGAAGGTGGCTCAGTGGTAGAGCGCTTGCCTTGCATGCTCAAGGCCCTGGGTTCAATTCCTCAGCACCACATAAGCAAAAAGAAAAAAAGCCGGAAGTGGTGCTGTGGCTCAAGTGGTATAGCACTAGCCTTGAGCTGAAGAGCTGAGGGACAGCGCCCATGCCCAGAGTTCAGGCCCCACGACCGGACCCCCCCCAAAAAAAAAATCCAGGCAACTAATAATTTTATTTCAAATGCTATTGATTTTCATCCTCCTTTGTTCAGTAAAGGATTAAGTAAATCATTTGCACTATCTTGGTAAATTTACGAAATGTATTTACAAATACACTCATATTTTTAAAACAGATGTCATGTAACTCAAATCAGGCTGAATTTGTTTTTAAAAATCATATACAATGCTGGGCGCCAGTGGTTCACGCATGTAATCCTAGCTACTCAGGAGGCTGAGATCTGAGGACTGTGGTTCAAAGTCAGCCCAAGCAGGAAAGTCTGTGAGACTCTTATCTCTAATAAACCACTAGAAAACCAGAAGTGGCGCTGTGGCTCAAGCAGAAGAACGCTCTCCTTGAGCTGAAGAGTGCAGGGACAGCACCCAAGCCCAGAGTTCAAGCCCCCCCCACCAAAAAAAATCATATACATTGGGTTGGGAATGTGGCTTTGTGGTAGGCATGCATGCAGCCCTGAGTTTGATTCCTAGTACCACATAGGAAGGCTGGAAGTGGTGCTGTGGCTCAAATGGTAAAGCACTAGCCTTGAGCAAAAGAAGCTCAGGGACAGTGCCCAGGCCCTGAGTTCAGGTCCCAGGACTGGCCCCCACCCACCTCCAAAATACACATTTACCTGTTGACATCATGTTGCTGACAGAGGCAAATTCCATGAATGTGTTATAGTTGGGCAAAAAATTGTGCACTGACACTTCATCCACCCCACATCGAATATCTGCTTCCTCACAGAGGTGGCGGAAACAGGACATGGCAACCAGAACAGCTTCAGTGTCAGGGCTCCACAGAAACATGTACAGGGCTACTTCTAGCTTGGTCTGGGCTTGTCGGCATATTGGTGGGGTCCCACTGCACCCTGCTGTACTATCCTGGGAGTCAGAAGTGAGAGGAAACTTAAGTGATTTCATTTACAAAAGATAACAATACAGTAAACAATGCACCATACACACCAGCAGACAAAACTCATAAGAACTTTCCTCTTTAATTTTAAGATTTTTTTTTCCAATCATATTTTAGTCAGGCACTGATGATTCACATCTGTAATCCTAGCTATTCAGGAGGCTGAGATCTGAGGATCAAGACTCAAAGCCAGGCAGGAAAGTTTTTTTTGTATCTTATCTTCAATTAACCGCAAAAGCCAAAGTAGCACTGAGCTCAAGTGATAGAATTCAAGCCTTAAGATAAAAAGCTCAGGGACAGAAATTACCCAGACTGCGCGCGCGCACGCGCGCACACACACACACACACACACACACACAGAGTGAGAGAGAGAGAGAGAGAAAGAGAGAGAGAGAGAAAGAGAGAGAGAGAGAGAGACAGGAGCTCCTTTTGCAATCTGCAGAAGGTACTGCACTCAGTACCACGTATTGATGATAAAAAGCTTCTGCTAAGCCAGGCACCAGTGGCTCATGCCTGTAATCCTACCTACTCTGGAGGCTGAGATCTGAGACCACGGTTCAAAGCCAGCCCAGGCAGGAAAGTCCGTGAGACTCTTATTCCAATAAAACCGGAAGTGGCGCTGTGGCTCAAGTGGTAGAGCGCTAGCCTTGAGCTGAAGAGCTGAGGGACAGCATCCAGGCCCACAATTGACCCCCCCCCCCAAAAAAAGAAGAAGACCACTTTAAAAATTAAGGATAGCCCTACCTCTAAACAGAAAACATTTATTGTTCTGCAAAGAAATGGAACCTAAAAATCTTTTAGAAGCCAGGTGGCTGGTGTTTCACACCTATACTCCTAGCTATTCAGCCTGAGATATGAGGATCAAAATTCTAAGCCAGCCTGGAAGAAAAGTCTGTGTGGCTCTCTTGTGTTCCAAGCTGGAAGTGGAACTATGGCTGTAGTAGAGTGACTGTAGCCTTAAATAACAAAGCTAAGCAATAGTGGGAGGCTCTGAGTTCAAGCCCCAATAGCTGCATACATACTCTCCCCCAAAAGACTTTTCCAACATTTGTTCTGCCAGTAATTAGAGCCTTCTCATGTCTTGGTGAGATTGTGTTCATTGAAATGAATTCATCAGACTTTATATCCTTGTCTTCCCTTTAATTTGTATTTTATGAAATGCATCATATAGTAGTGTTATTTTAGTAATGTACTATGTATATATTTATTTGAGGTTGCATTGCACTTATTATCTTCTTCTGTTTTAGTGCTTTTTTAGGACCAAAGGATATATTTCCTTACTCAGAAAATAAGGAAAAGTATGGCAAACCAAATAAACAAAAAGGTTTCAATGAAGGCTTATGGGAGATAGATAACAATCCAAAAGTGAAATTTTCAAGTGTACAGGTGAGTCATTGGATACCCACTTAGTTTAGTATTATTTATTCAGTCTTGGAGGAAAAAATACCATCATAGCTAGAGGAAAATAAGATGGCATTTAAGAGTCTTAGTAATTTTGGATTAAATTGTGTTCTTATTTATGGAATAAACTTTGACTTTTTATGTCTAGATGAACTACTGAAATTATTATACTGCTAAAGAGACCTCAGAAAACTGAGAAATGCTTGGTTATTTACTCCTAAGAATAAAGTTTAATATATTAGATTTAAAAAAAAATTAAGGATAGAAAAAAATTTATGTCTGGAAAACAACCTCTTCTATTGTAATCTGATACTTCTACTCATACATGATTTAAATTTAAAAGAAATATACAGAAATAAAAATTGGGGGACCACATATCCACCACATTCAGTAAAAAACAAGTATTTTTTGTGTGTGCACTAGTCCTGGGGCTTAAACTTAGGGCCTGCACATTGTCTCTGAGCTTTTTAGCTCAAGGCTAGCATTCTACCACTTGAGCCACAGCTCCACTTTTAACTTTTTTGGTGCATAACTGGAGACAGTCTCATAGGCTTCAAACCTCCATCCTTAGATTTCAGCCTCCTGAATTACTAGGAGTACAAACATAAGCCATTGGTGCCAAAATATTTTGTTTTAATCTCAGCAAAAATAAACTGTTGTTAGTTGATAAGCTTTTCAACTTCTGGGTATAAATGGTCTTTCTTATGCGGTCTTATAATAATTATATTTACCAGTTACAGTGTCAAATAATCAAGTGCTATTTTCATCCGATCTAATTTAGTCCTTACAAAACTCTGGGGTAAGAATTATCAATATCCTCATTCTCTCTGTCCCTCTCTGTCTCTCTGTCCCTCTCTCTAATAATTGATTGCCCCAACAAGGTCTCAGTATGTAGCTCACATTGGCCTTAAAGTTCCAATCGTCTTGCCTCAACCTCCCTCAGTTCTAGGTTCTGGGATTACAGACATGCTTCACCTCACCCAGCTACTTTATTTTACTTATTTTATTTTATTTAGGCTCCTGCTTGGCTTTTTGGTGGTAATTTAGAGATAAGAATCTCTCAGCTCTGTTTGCCTGGGCCGGCTCCAAACTGAGATTCTCAGATCTCAACCTCCTGAGTAGCTTGGGCTCTAAGTGAACCAGTGCTCAGAAATTGAGCTGGATACCAGTAGCTCACACCTTTAATCCTACTCAGAAAGCTGAGATCTGGGGGCCTGCAGGTTCAAAGACAACCAGGGCAGAAAAGACTAAACTAGTGAAAAGCTGAGCTGAAGGCTATGTTCAAATGATAGTGTACCAACCATGAGCAAGCAAAATGAGTAACTCTCCAAGTCCGTAAATTCAACAAAAAAAGAAATCTAAGAAACTAGCATGGAGCTGTTAAAAAGCTGCCCAAGGTAGCATAAAGGACACCAATGTAATTATAATCTAACAAGTCTTTAACTACTATGATATATTAATTAGTTGATATTTACCAAGTCCACTGAGACAGACAGACAGACAGACAGACAGACAGATGATGATAGAGGAAAAACAAAAAACTGGCTTCTTACCACGGAAGAATTTCCTTTTCCCTTCCGCAAAGATGCTCCAGGAGTATAAGTACGCAGTAATTCTTCGTGATCCATGGACATCTGAGTGGTATTTCCACTAGGAGGACCATCACATCCTACTCCATAAAGGAAAAGAAAGTGACAGGAACTTCTATCTGCCTGCTAGAAAAAGAAAAGAATAAATTCTACTGAAGCAGTGATAATAAAGGGAGGAGGGATAAATACTTTATCTGAGTTGTCTTTATATTTAAAACTACCAAGCAATCAAAAGCAGAAATTTTTTTTTAAAAAAGGGAGAAAAAAGAGCAGAATAGCAAAAAAAAATTCTTGTTTGTATTTCTTGGAGTTCATTTCAATAAACATATTTTATGTGATCATATGCAAGTAGCTATTGGAGTCTTTGTGAATATCTCCTTGGAGTATTTTCCTTTGGTCTCACTGTGTAAATGTTTATAGAGTCCTGTTTAACTTATCATGTCTGTTTTTTATTTCTATACCTTTTGCCTTGTATGTAAGTTTAAGGGAAAGCACAGAAATGGTGAGACATAGGGTGAACAAATGCAGCAGTGATTCTATACATTGTTGAAAATGACTATATAAATTTGTTGGGGAGGGGTTGAGAAGGAAAAAACCAGGAGAAAATGAAGAGATGACACCATTAAAAAAATGTTCTCGTTACTTGACTTATGTAACTGTAACTCCTCTCTATATCATCTTTACAATAAAAATTAATTAATTAATAGGGGAAAAAAGAACTACTGAGAACCTCTCCTATCAATCTCTATGCCAAACCTAAGAAACATTCAGGAAAAACTCATGAAGCACTAAGACATTGTTTGCTCAGTGTTCCTCAAACTTGTCTGTTTCCTACTCTTCATATCAGCAAAAACAATTCTAGAAATGAAAATAAAGTCTGATATGGACATAAGTAAAATATGAATACTATAAATATACTGTATGAAAACTATAATGTATTCTCAGCCAATGACAAGTGATCAAGATTTTTTTACCTGAAAGATTTTATCCTGTCCCCCTGTCAGGATATCTGCAAATTGAGTCTTTTGAGATAAATTTACATGCCAACTATGTCACAGGAGAGACTGGATTAGGTTCTTAGATAAGAGCACAAAATTCTGCAGTCTAATCTCTTTCCTATCTTTGGGATAAACTCAGTCTCCTCTAAACACAGGTATGAATGAACTCCATCCACAATAACTTTTTTGAACAGAAGAGTTAACAAAATGCATAGTACTGAAAAGCCAATAAATTTGATACATTTAAGATTTCTCACAGCTGTGACTCTAGACCTAAGTAAAAGCTCATATCAAGTATCCTAGTATACATCTTAACAGAAAATTTTAAAAACTGGTTACAGAAACTGTATGTTAAAAGAAATGCAAGGCTCTTCTATTCCCTACACCTTCACCATGTTTCAATAGGTCAGAATGAAGAATTTTATTTCAACTAAAATAACATGATTTCTGATCTTTTCAAAAGATAAGCCTTTTATGGAAGGAATATAAACAGACTTAGATCAAAAACCTTTTCTTTGAGCCATGCCCTGGTTGCTCATGCCTATAATCCTAACTATTCAAGAGGTTGAGATCTGAGGATCAAGGTTCAAAGCCAGCCTGAGCAGGAAAGAAAGTCCATGAGACTCTCATCTCCAACTGACTACCAAAAACCAAAAGTGGAGCTGTGGCTCAAAGTGTTACAGCACTAGACTTGAACAAAAGAGCTCAGGGACAGTATCCAGGCCCCGAGTTCAAGCCCCATGACCACCCAAAAAAGAAAACAAACAAACAAAAAAACCAATTCTTCCTTTTAGCTTTTGATACATATTTCCAAGATGCAGCTAGCCATAACAGTCAAGGGTTATGTATAGATGAAATAATGACAAAATGTGCTTCTCGGCCTACTGTGGTTATAACAGGTTCCATCCTTCCTAGATCTTCACAGAGTCCTGCTTAAGCCAATCAGAATTCATCATTATCAGTTTTAAGGCCAAAGCCTTAGAATAATTGTTTCAATGTCATTTATTTTCATTAAGACAGTATAGGGGGAGTTGAATTACAACCTAATTTGACTTATAAACATTTTCTTTCTATTTAAATTTTTTCATTCTGCCTACGTTATTTTAATTTCTTCAATGTAAAGGTGATGTACAGAGGGATTACGTAAGTCAGACAAATAGTACATTTCTTTTTGAACAATATCACCCATTCCCTCACTCTCTCCCATTTTTTCCCTCCAATCCTCATCCATGTATCACTGCTGCATTTGCTCACCCCTAACCCCACCATTTATTTCTGTGACCCTCTTACCTTCCCCCAAAGACAGATAAAATGAACAAACAAGACAAAAGGAAAACAAAAACAGCAAAGAGGAAAAAAAAACCCTCATTTCCATTCCATTTCTTGTAGTTCATTTCAATAAATATTTTATGTGATCAGATGCACATAGCTATTGAGCCTTTGTGATCCTCTCCTAAGAATACCCCTCCTTTGGTCTTACTCTGTGTGAATGCCTAAAGACCTGTATAATTTATCATGCCCCAATGTATTTTCCCGCCTGTGGTATATGTACACAATGAATTTCTACTCATCCATCAGAAAGAATGATATTGTACCAGTTATAAAGGAAATGGAAGCAGCACTTGGAAAAAAATGAAATTAAGCAAAGTAAGCCAGCCCCAAAGAAACATAAGTTGAATGATTTCTCTCATTTGTGGTAACTAGAATGTACCTATAAATCTACAAGTAAACACAATGGATGGTAAAATAAAAGCATACCTTGTTTTTAAGAAGAAATTTATTCCTGCAGATCAAAATTTCCCGTAACCACTTGAGAATTTCTGTACTACTAAGCATTTGATGGCTAGTTAATTTCTTGCAGATGTAAAATAGCATTTGTGAACTGCAATAGCAAAGTTCATTGTTACCAGAATTATCAATAAATAACCTAATAGATATAATCATATATAAGAATGGTATGCTGTTACTATGGATATAAATTTAGAGAAACGTAAGTTTCCATTGTAGGGTTTGCTTTAGAGAAATAGTTATCAGAACTATAATCAAAGGAAATAAGTGTACAGGCTATATTTAAAAGTACTTATAAACCCCCTATTTTCCGAATTTTTTTTTTCTTTTGGTTGGTCGTAGTTCTTGAACTCTGGGCCTGGGTGCTCTTCAGCTCAAAGCTAGCCCTCTACCACTTGAGCCACTACGCCACTTCCTGTTTTCTGGTGGTTAATTGGAGATAAGAGTCTCACAGGGCTTGGCGCAGGTGGCTCACACCTGTAATCCTAGCTACTCAGGAGGCTGAGATCTGAGGATCACGGTTCAAAGCCAGCTGGGGCAGGAAAGTCCGTGAGACTCCTATCTCCAATAAACCACTAGAAAACCAGAAGTGGTGCTGTGGCTCAAGCGGTAGAGCGCTCACCTTGAGCTGAAGAGCACAGGGACAGTGCCCAAGCCCAGAGTTCAAGCCCCACGACCGACAAAAAAAAAAAAAGTTATAAAATGTTAATATGATAGTCATATAACTATAAAAATCTATTTAAAATATAACTATAAGCCAGGAACTAGTGCTCATGCCTATAATCCTGGCTACTCAGAAAGCTGAGATCTGAGAATCACAGTTCAAAGTCAACCAGTTTGTAAAACTGACAAAGCATTAACCTTGAGCAAAAGATAGTACCCAGGCCCAGATTTCAAGCTTCAAGTTTGGCACTATGTGTGTGTACATATGTATATATGTGTATCTGTTTATATATACATATATGTGTGTGTGTATATATATACACACACATACACACACATATACACATAAAAAACTGTCACTGCATAGAAACAAGAAATACAAGATAATATACCAAACAATAGTACTTATGCCTGGGTGATAAAATTTAGCACTTTAAAATTTTATTTTCTACATTGCTGTAATGATTTTACAGTTAAAAATAATAATCCCAAATGAAATAAAATACAAAATTATAAAAACTCTACAGTTATACTACAGTTTTATGATAATAAATACTATAAATTTAATATTTAAAGATTAAGAATTGAGTTTTAAAATTAAAAGGACATATACCTAATCTCCCAAAATGTTTCTACAGGTGCATCAGGATTCCACAAATCAATGCTGTCTAACTGATGAAGAACCAGCAAAGCCTGAATTGTAAAAAGAGAAAAAGAACTTGAAGTTTTTTTGGGGGGGAAAAAAACATGCATTTATTTTCCAAATGTTAACACATTTATTCATGTGAAACAAAACTTTTTAGAATAACCCTGAAATACAAATCTCAAGGGATTAACATACATAGCATGTTATCACTTTGCTCCTATCATTCTTTCTGTAGATGTACATGTAAAGTTAAATGAATTCAGAGAACTGTCCTTTTTTTTTTTGGCCAATCCTGGGGCTTGAACTCAGGGCCTGGGCACTGCTGGAGCTTCTTTTGCTCTAGGATAGCACTTTACTACTTGAACCACAGTGCCACATCCAGCTCTTTCTGTTTATGTAGTATCGAAGAAACAAACCCAGGGCTTCATGCATGCTAGGCAAGCACTCTACCACATTCTCAGCCCCATAAGAACTGTCTTAACAAAGTAGTTTCATTCCCAAATAAGAAGGGAGGTCTCCCCAAAATTAGCACACAAAAGATATGACTGGAAATAAACTGTCTTGGCACAATATTTTGTGACAAAAAATGTTTTTTGAAATTGAAAATGGCAAGCAAATCAAACTGTGCATCTCAAGTACAACAGGAGTAACTCACTTTATAGATATAGATAACTATTTATGTAAATTATTACTATATAAAATTTAAACCATTAACCAGACACCAGTAGCTCACATCTATAATCCTATCTACAAAGGAGGCTGAGATCTGAAGATTATAGTTCAAAGCCAGGCGGCAGGAAAGTCCATGAGACTCTTACCTCCAATTAGCCACCGAAAAAGTCAGAAGTGGAGCTGTGACTCAAGTGGTAGAGCACTAGCCTTGAGCAAAAAGGCTCAGGGTCAGCGCCCAGTCCCTGCATTCAAACCCAAGACCAGCACCAAAAAACAAAACAAAAACAAAAAGCAACAAAAACTCCATGAACTGCAAATAGCTATGCAATCACATAACCTGACTCATATTAGGAAAAGCATCCAACTTGGACACTTTGTAACTTTAAAAGTTATAAATTATATAAAGATCAGATTTATAACATTTAAAGGTAATTACAGTTAGGATGGTAATTACTTAAGATATGCATTACTTTTAGATCTATTATGCAAAAACTTGGTACAATGTTGCACCTAAGTATTTTTATGTGACACATTTCTCTATACATTTTTTAATATAAAAGAAAACATGAGGGCTGGGAAGGTGGCTCAGTGGTAGAGCGCTTGCCTTGCAAGCATGAGGCCCTGGGTTCGATTCCTCAGCACCACATAAGCAAAAAGAAAAAAGCCGGAAGTGGCGCTGTGGCTCAAGTGGTAGACCACTAGCCTTGAGCTGAAGAGCTGAGGGACAGCACCCAGGCCCAGAGTTCAGGCCCCACAACAGAACCAAAAAAAAAAAAAGAAAGAAAACGTGATAGACTTTTCCTTCTCATGTCCTTCTGTTTTATTTTTTCTTTGGGTCCGGTTGTGGGGCTTGAACTCTGGGCCTGGGCGCTGTCCCTCAGCTCTTCAGCTCAAGGCTAGCGCTCTACCACTTGAGCCACAGTGCCACTTCCGGCTTTTTTCTTTTTGCTTATGTGGTGCTGAGGAATCGAACCCAGGGCCTCAGGCATGCAAGGCAAGCGCTCTACCACTGAGCTACCTTATCTACATATAGTCAAATGTTTCAAGGCAAGGAAACATTATGAGCAATGTGTAGCACATTTGGTGATTATATTGTTATGACCACATCACAGAATATACAACATAAACCCAGAGCGCTCTGATGTCACTAGGTGATACAATCTTATGGGCTAACTGTTATACTGTCATCCCTTGTTAACCAAAATACTGTTCTACAATGACTACATATGTTTAAAAAAGCTATAAACATAATATACTCAGCTGGGTACTGGGTGGCTCGTGCTTATAATCCAAGCTACTCAGGAAGCTGAGATCTGAAGATCACAATTCAAAGCCAGCCTGTACAAATTATCTCCAATAAACTACTTAGAAAAAGCCGGAATTGGTATTGTGGGGATCAAATGATAAAGTGCTGGCCTTGAGTAAAAGAAGCTCAGGGATAGCACCCAGACCCTGAGTTCAAGCCCCAGGAACAGCACCCAAAAAAGAAAAATAAATACTATACTCTTTTGACATCTCATAAATATTTTCTCCTATTGCTGAATAGTTGATCCACATAAGTACTTTTAGGTTTTGGAGGTAAGGTCTCACTATAAAGCCAATGCTGGTCTAGCACTAGATAGGCCAGACTAGCCTTGAACCCTTTTGATCCTCCTACGTGTTGGGATTACAGGTGTTTGACACCATGCATGATTTTAATGGATGTGTAATAGCCCACTAAGCTGAAATACAACTCTGTCATGTCTTTTTTACTAGTGAATGAAGTTTCCCTATCAGTCTATTATACAATGCAGTCTGGGGGCTGGGAAGGTGGCTCAATGGTAGAGTGTTCGCCTTGCATGCATGATTCCTCAGCACCACATAAACAGAAAAGGCCTGAAGTGGTCCTATGGCTGGTGCCCAGGCCCAGAGTTGAGACTCCATGACTGACTCAAAAAACAAAAAACAAAAAAAAGAGAGAGAGAAGAAGCAGTCTGTTTTGCTTGCCCTTCTCCCAACTTTAAATGATTTTTCTTCCCCCCATCCCCCAAAAAATGTGACAAGTGAGCATTTTACATTATGTAGCTTAAGCATTTCAATTGTGTCCACAAGGCAAAAAATAACACAATTAGTCAGGCACCAGTAGCTCACGCCTGTAATCCTAGCTACTCAGAAGGCTGAGATCTAAGGATCACAGTTCAAAGCCAGCCTGGACAGCAAAGTCCATGAGACTCTTATCTCCAATAAAACACTAGAAAACCAGAAGTGGTGCTGTGGCTCAAGCGGTAGAGCACTCACCTTGAGCTGAAGAGCTGAAGGACAACACCCAAGCCCAGAGTTCAAGCCCCATGAACAACCAAAAAAAAAATATATATATATATATATATATATATCACAAGAATAGTTATTTGAACAATACAACTAAAATATCAGAGTAGCTACCATCAAGCATTGGCAAATGGCCTTGCAAAAACAAATGCAAATAATGTACCAATTTATAGAACCAATGGCATTGTATACAAATATAGGTAGTAACTATACAATAAATGCTAAAGTGTGTGTGTGTGTGTGTGTGTGTGTGCGGGCGCGCGCACACTGGTACGAAGGCTTGAACTCAGGGCCTGGGTGTTGTCTCAGCTTTTTTGTTCAAGGCTGGCACTCTATCACTTGATTTTTTTTGGGGGGGGGGTCCGGTTGTGGGGCCTGAACTCTGGGCCTGGGCGCTGTCCCTCAGCTCTTCAGCTCAGACTAGAGCTCTACCACTTGAGCCACAGTGCCACTTCCGGCTTTTTTCATTTTGCTTTATGTGGTGCTGAGAAATCAAACTCAGGGCCTCAGGCATGCAAGGCAAGCGCTCTACCACTGAGCCACCTTCCCAGCCCCAGCACTCTATCATTTGAGCCACAACTCCACATTTAGCTTTTTGCTGATTAACCGGAGATAAGAGTCTCAAAAACTTTCCTGCTTAGGCTGGCTTCAAATCACAGATCTCAGATCTCAGCCTCCAGAGTAGCTAGGATTACAGGCATGAGTCACTGATGCCCAATTAACTGAAATATTTTTGCAAACATTTCAAACACATATCCTTAACTGTACAGTTCATACATAGCAAGTCTTAAGATTTTACATTAATGAATTTCCACTAGTCTACAGACTCCATTATCACCCAAATTAATGTTAACAATATCCATAAGCTTTTGTTGCTTCACCTCCCTGTCAACTCTTTACAAGAGGAGCTACTGTTCTGCCCTCTATCACCACAGATTATTTTGCCTATTAGTAAATCTTATATAAAGGAAACCATAAAACATGGTTTGTGTGTGTGTGTGAGTGTGTGTGTGTGTGTGTGTGGCAAGTTTCACTCAACATTATGTAAGATTTTAAACATGTTTTGGATTTACCAGTAACTCACTCTTTTTTTTTCTATAGTAACTCACTCTTCATTGTTGCAGAGTACTCAACTGAATTACTATAACCAAAATTATCTTATCTCCATTTGTTCATTCTATCAGATTTTGAAAAAGATATATTCAAGGAGGTATACTCTACTCAAGGAGAGAAGGAGAAAAGTTGGAAGAGAGAAAGGGAAGAAACAGTTGAACCTTTTCCTTTAAGAGTCTAAAATTAATTTCCCCTTACCTCCATTGCTTCCTGAGCAACCTCTGGCATGTGTGATTGAGGGACCAGCTGTACAAGCCCTGTAATTAGTTCTGCTGTACTGCCTTGAGTTTCAGGACCCTGTTTTCTTGGATTCTACAAAAGAAAAACCAAACCTCAATTTAAAATAAAAAAAAAATCAACTTACAGAATTATGAAGGAAGAAAAATAGAGACCAATTCCTAACCACTACTAAATTTCTTTTAGGGGTGATGAAAATATTTTAAAATTAGTTGCAATAGTTCCAATTTGTAAATATACTAGAAGCCACTGGATTGTATTTCTTAAAAGAATGATTTTAATCAGATGTGGTGGCTCACACCTGTAATTCCAAAGACTCCAGAGGCAGAAATAGGATTGTGATTTGGTCCAACCCTGGCTAAAAGTCCATGAGACTTTATTTTTAAAAAATAAATAAGGGCTGGGAAGGTGGCTCAGTGGTAGAGTGCTTGCCTTGCATGCCTGAGGCCCTTGGTTCCATTCCTCAGTACCACATAAGCAAAAAGAAAAAAGCCAGATGTGGCAGTGTGGCTCAAGTGGTAGAGTGCTAGCCTTGAGCTGAAGAGCTGAGGAACAGTGCCCAGGCCCAGAGTTCAGGCCCCTCGACCAGACCCAAAAAAAATAAATAAATAAGATGCAAGGTGCTGGTGGCTCACACCCATAATCCTAGCTACTCAGGAGGCTGAGATCTGAGGATCGAGGTTCAAAGCCAGCCCAGGCAGGAAAGTCCATGAGACTCTCAACCCCAACTAACATGAGAAAACCAGAAATGACGCTGTGACTCAAGTAGTAGAGTGCTCACCTTGAGCTGAAGAGCCCAAGGACAGCACCCAAGCCCAGAGTTCAAGCCCCATGACATAAATAAATAAATAAATAAGATGGAGGCAGGTGCCAGGTGATCCACATCTCTAATCCTAGCTACTCAGAAGTCTGAGGTCTTAAGATTACAGTTTGAAGCCAGCCCAGGCAGAAAAATCTGTGACACTGCTATTTCCAATTAACCATCAAAAATATGGAAATGGAGGCATGGCTCAAGGGGTAGAGTGCTAGCCTTGAGTGAAAAAGCTAAGAGACAGGCCCTGAGTTTAAGCCTCAGTACTAGAATGAAATAAAACAAAAAAAAATCAATTTTTTTTGGGGGGTCCGGTCATGGGGCCTGAACTCTGGGCCTGGGCACTGTCCCTCAGCTCTTCAGCTCAAGGCTAGCACTCTATCACTTGAGCCACAGCGTCACTTCTGGCTTTTTTTTCTGCTTATGTGGTGCTGAGGAATTGAACCCAGGGCCTCATGCATGCAAGGCAAGCGTTCTACCACTGAGCCACCTTCCCAGCCCTTAAATATTTTTTGTTAGAGCCTCTTAATTCATATCTTTATTTGCTCTTTAAGTAATATCCAGGAAGCCTGCTAATTAAAACAAAACAAAAATAGATTCAACCTTTGAATTAAGAAATTATATCAAAGGCTAGGTATACAAGTTAGTGCTGAGTGCAAGCCTAGCATGAAAAATGCCCTGAGTTTGATCTCCAGTGCTATAAAAAAAAAATCAATAACATAAGGAGTCTATTGTTTGTTTGTCTGTTTTGTAGCCCTGGGTGACAGTGAACTTGTTTTTTGGGTTTTTTTGGGTCCAGTCGTGGGCCTGAACTCTGAGCCTGGGCGCTGCCCCGCAGCTCTTCAGCTCAAGGCTAGCGCTCTACCACTTGAGCGACAGCACAACTTCTGGCTTTTTTTTTTTGCTTATGGGTGCCGAGGAATTGAACCCAGGGCCTCAAGCATGCAAGGCAAGCACTTTAACACTGAGCCACCTTCCCAGCCCCGTGACAGTGAACTTGGTATCTTCTTGCCTAAGTCTTTTGAGTCTGGGTACAGGCATGCACCACTATACCAATTCAGTAACTTTTTTGAGTAACATTCTGCTGGCTAAACAAGAAAATTATAGTTTGGGCCTTAGAAGTTTTGACTATTATACATGATTGTTATCAAAGAAGCAGAATATACTTGTTGGATGAGAATTGCATAATTATCCTATACAGCTCTTTGCCCAGTATAAAACAGAAAAAAAGAACATATAATAAGTTTTACCTGTACATTATTTTGTTAGCTACAGATAGGTCTCCAGTGTAACTAATATAAGCTTTCATCCAGTATACCTATAATTCAAAATTATTAGCCTATATTCTAACATGTAATATTCATTCGTTCATAACCCAATAGAATTTGCCGAACACCAAATATCTAAGCAATCAAAAATGAATACTTCTACCCTCCAGAAGTATGTAGTCCTACAAGGAAAACAAGTATCAATAAAATAAAGCATAAAACTGCAAATAAACTAAGATGTTCCTATGAAAGCCTTTATGAGGAAAACATGACCCAATCTGGGAAGTTTCCTAAGGGTAGAGGTAACAGCTCAGACTCAGCAGGAATTACTCTGTGGAGAGGGAGCAGATTCTAGCCAAGTACCAAGGAAGATGTGAGGGAATATATAATAGAGAAAGACTGAAAGGTTATTGTGACCAGCACAGGCAAAAATGAGATGCTCTATTTGGAAGAAGTGGTGAGTGAAAGGCTCTGCATGACCTGGTACCTCTATCTGGGTTTCGTCTTTATCTCAAGAGTAACTTCTAATTACAATGCAAACTTAATTTTAAGTTGGACTAGGGACATAATAGGATTTGATTTTTAAACAAGTCATGGTAACTTCAATGCAAAGAAATGTAAGAAACAATGAAGATTTAAAAAGTCAAGACTTGAAAATTTTAAACTGTGATAAACCAGGACAGAGAGAACATAAAATCATATTACTTCAAAAATACCATGGTTAAGATCATTTATTATATATTTCTATATTCTTATTAACTAAGACAAAATTTTGATATATCAAATACACACATAATAAAACTCAGAAGAAATCTCAGTATTTTATTTATCTACGACTGAGATTTCAAAATCATTCAACCACTAGATGGCAGCAAAGAAAAGAACCCCACAAGGCCGACTCTACCTCACAAGGCCATAAAGCATGGGTCTAACCCAGAGCAAGAATGAATTTCCAGTACCACAAAAACAAAACAAGCAAGCAAATAAATCCCAAGGCTAGAGATGGGAGTACAGTAGTATAGAGTACCTGTCTAGCAAGCACAAGGTCCTGAGTTCAATCCTTAGCACTGAAAACAAAAACAACAACAATAATAGTAATACAAAGAATTGTGACCTTTGGATTGGAAAATAGTACATTTTATTTAAACTCTTTGGTTTCTAACAATATTATATTCAACATAAAAGACAATTGTATGTTGGTATGTACTCTGAATGAATTATGGCCAAACAAGTAATTCTGATTCTGGTATTATATGGCATTAATTGTGAAACAGCATTAAAAAAGAAATGAAAAGGTATTTCATTACTTTCACAGTATCACTGACAGATGTAACGGAATTTCCAAGCCAAAGGTCAATTTATTCTGGTAGACTCTTTAATTTGAATCAGATCAGCAAAAAGTTCAAAATATGGTAACTTTGGGAGAAGAGGGTGCTCCACTGGAAATTTTGGGAATTCTTTGTTTTTTCCTTTTCTGTTTCTAGAAATATTGCTCAAATGCACACACATTTTAAAATTCAGGATGCAAAAGGGGACTAATGTGGTGGCTTACTAAGGCAGATGAGGTAAGAAGATTATAAGTACAAATATTAAGTTTAAAAAACAATTTTATAAATAAAAACTGGGGGGTTCACAGAACTCATGAAACCAAAGATCTAGTTATAAGTTTCTATTATTATAGTGTTTGGAAAAACACAACACCAAAGCTGAAAATAACATAGCGGGGAAGTCCATGAGATTCTTATCTCCAGTTAATAACCAAGAAGCCAGAAGTGGAGCTGTGGCTCAAGTAATAAAGCACTAGCCTTGAGCAAAAAAGCTCAGAGACCAGTGAGATGGAGAAAGAGAAGGAGTAGGAGAAGAGGGAAGAGGAGGAAGAGAGCAATAGAAGAAAGAAGCCTGTCACTGACTAAAGCAATATATAATTTTGTTTGATGCTGTTCTCTGGGAACTGGAGAAATTTGACAAAGGGTAAATTTATCATCCTATAAAAATCAGAATTGTTGCAGGGTGATGGCAGCTCATGCCTGTAATTGTAGCTACTCAGGAGACTAAGATCTGAGGATTGCAGTTTGAGGTCAGCCCAGGTAGCAAAGTCTGTGAGATTCTTATCTCCAATTAACCACCAGAAAACCAGAAGTGGTGTTATGGCTCAAAGTGGTAGGGCTTTAGTATTGAGCAAAAGAGCTCAGGGACAGGGCCCAAGCCCTGAGTTCAAGCCCCATGACTGAAAAAAAAAATAGAATTATTAGATTTTGAGCAGGACATGGTAGTTTATACCTATAAACCCAGCACTAAAAAGGCAGGATGATCAGAAATTCACAATCAGCCTGGATTACATAGTAAAAATCTGCCTCAAAACAAAAGAAAAAATTATTACATTTGAGGAGGCTCTTAAATAATATTAATGGTAACTTTATCTTATTAGTAGTAATAATAGCTAACATTTATTTAGGTCTTTTAATGCTGCAGGAATTGTTCCTAAAAGCCTTACATATATCATTTCAATTTTCTTAACGATCTCTCTGAGGTAGGAACTATTATTATCCCATTATTTCAAATGAGAAAACTCAGGCTGAAAGAAATTTAAGTAAATCACCTAGCTAGTAATTATTCTGTCTCCAGAGCCCACGTTTTTAATCGCTTCATGTAACTATCACTCATTTACAGCAATTACATTATTAGTCCCTAATTATTCTGTGTACCAGAGTGAAGTTCTCAGGAATCTATTGTCACCTAAGGCAATAAAAACAGTTATGATTATAACTGAATACTAACCACACCCATTTCACTTCCTTCTTCAAATACATTATCTGTAGGTAAAGTCAATGATAAATAGAAACCAATGAGAAAAATAAAGAGAGATAAAGATGCTCAATTGCTTGGCAATAGCAATTGCAAATTAAAAGAATGGGCAGTATAAATGTAGACTGAAGAAACACTGTGATGTATGGCTCCTTTCTTCTACCCCAGCTCAGGACTAGGCATGTATGAAACGTAATCTAGTATAGCAGGTTCAGGACAAATGATGTCAAGAAAGTTAACTTAATGATTAGGGAAATGAAGAAGTCAGGAAATTTGAAATAATTTCATTAGCATCATCTATAAGTTAGTGTCCTTTAGAAAGTATCAGTAAGATTATGGCATTTCAGTTAAACCAGAAACACGTAATGTAATAATTTCAAAGCATTTCATAAAAAAAAAAATACTTACACAAAGCAAAAGCTTTGGATCTGCATGAATTAGTTTCACCATGGACAAGAGAAGAACCTTATAGTTTCTTGTCTCAAGGTCTGTAGGTTTTTCTTTGAATTTAAGGCTTGTAACTTTTTCTTTAAATGTAAGACTCTAAAAACAAAACAAAAACATGGTATCACCTTGAAAGAATCAGATATCAGGTTGTGAACAGTATCAATAAAACTTTAAAAAATAAATTTATTATAAAAAAACACTGAAAATGTAAGCATTTTTATACCACTAAATATGTGGTACTGATAGAAATAAGCATGAAGTAAAAGTTTTATTTTTTAAAAATGTTGTTTTATGCCCTTTGTGTTATTCTTATATAATCAATCTAATCAGACTAATAAAAATTAAATTAAAATGCTAAAAGACTTACTTCATGTTGAATCCTATATAAAAAAAGAATTCTAAAATGTAAAAATATATTTAGTTTATATGATTCACAAATATCCATACCAGGAACTCATTTAACCAACACTTATCCCACATATATACATAAACAAATATTTCATAGACACTGCAATATTTTCAATTTTAAGACATATCATTACTTGCTACATCAAAAGAGATAAAAAGTCACTGTTTATAAGAGACACCATAAAAAGTACTTCCAATTTCAGAGAAAAGTACAAGTATTCTTTACAACTAATGAAATATGCTATATAGCCAATCTCTGTACTTAACAGTTTCAATTATAATTTGTGCTTTTTCCTTTGACAGCATTTTATCTCTCCAGTTACAATGTACATGTATTGTCTGAAGAATATTCATGGAACAGAATTCTTTGAAGAAAGTATCTTTCAATTATAGAGATACTATGGTTAACTAAATTAATTATGGATGTCATTAAATAAAAAAAACTTCAGCTGGGTGCCAGTAGCTCATGCCTGTAATCCCAGCTACTCAGGAGGCTGAGATCTGAGGATCATGGTTCAAAGTCAGCGTGGGCAGGTGAGACTCTTACCTCCAATTAACCACCAGAAAACCAGAAGTGGTGCTGTGGCTCAAGCGGCAGAGCACTTGCCTTAAGCTGAAGAGCAAAGGGACAATGCCCAAGCCTAGAGTTCAAGCCCCATGACCAACCAAAAAAAAAAAACAAAAAAAAAAAACTCCAGTAGGGTGCTGGTGACATACCTGTGATCCTAGCTACTCAGAAAGCTGAGAATCACAGTTTGAAGTCAACCCAGGCAGGATACTCAGTCCAAGACAGTCTCATCTCTAATTAATTATCACCAAAAAAGTCAGACAAAAAAAGCAAAAGTGTTAGAGTGCTAGCCTTGAGTACAAAAGCTCTGAGACAGCACCCAAGCCATGAGTTCAAGTCCCAGGATGGGGTAAAACAAACAAAAACCTCCAACAATCACATTCTGGATCCAAAGTCGTCTATTTCTATTCTAAGAAACATTCATATTCTTTTCTAAAAGAATCCAACAGTAATTGACTTAGATGTCTTTACACATGGAAGCATACATACAAAAATATGGCTGTAGACTATGAAGAATCTATCCAACCATAATAAAAATGTCCAAATAAACACGGTGTTCTCTTTCAAAGCTAATAAGTAGATATTAATATCCATACAACAATATATGGCAACTCTCCTTAACGTTGAAAAGAGGTAAGTTTGTTATTAAGCCTAAGAACGCTAAAGATTTTGGTCCTCAGGAGGAAGAAGAATTATTTAAGGAACAGATAACTCTGAAGAAATACCACTACAAAACTGAAAAACCAAAATTCATTTGTGTGCATGTTTGTGTATGCTGGTCCTGAGGGCTGAACTGAGGGCTTGAACGCTGTCCCTGAGTTGTTTTTTGCTCTACTTCCAGATTTTTTGGCAAATGATAAGTGTCTCATGCACTTTCCTATCCAAGATGGCTTCAAACCATGAACCTCAGATCTCAGCCCTTGAGTAGCTAGGAATATAGGTGTGGGTTACCCACACCAGACACAAATACTACTTTATCTTTAAAATAAATACGTTTTACTTTAAAAATTACTTTATTGTTCTTATAAAGGTGATGTACAGAAGGATTACATGTATCAGGTAATGAGTACGCTTCCTTCCATACAGTGTCTTCTGTTGCCTCACTCTCTCCCAGTCCCTCCCTTCCATTTCCACCCATAAGTTGTATAGTTCACTTTCTTCTATGTCCAGTGAGCTCCACTGCTGCATTTTTTCACCCTTTTTCCCTCGAGTTCTGTATCCTTCTCCCTATCCTCCCAAAGATATACACTTCAACAAACCATACATAAGACAGATCATCAAAAAATAAAATTTAAGGGGCTGGGAAGGTGGCTCAGTGGTAGAGTGCTTGCCTTGCATGCCTGAGGCCCTGGGTTCCATTCCTCAGCACCACATAAGCAAAAAGAAAAAAGCCAGAAGTGGCGCTGTGGCTCAAGTGGTAGAGCGCTAGCCTTGAGCTGAAGAGCTGAGGGACAGCACCCAGGCCCAGAGTTCAGGCCCCACGACCGGACCCAAAAAATAATAATAATAAATAAAATAAAATTTAAATACATACATTTTTATATAAAGACTATATCATCTGAAAGGCAAAATGTACTATCAAATATACTTAATAAATTCTGGGAATTAGCATGCTGTTTTTAAGTTAGCATCTATTGGTTGTATAAGATAGTTCCCTTGTGACATTCTATACGTTTATGTATGTGTAAGCTTTTCTTTAAATTTATGTCTTGTTATTTTTTCTTTAAATGTAAGACTAAAATCAAAACAAAAACATGGTTATCACCTTGAACGATATTACATACATACACAATATATCCCTATCAACCTCATCACCTTATTTCTCTCCCCTTCCTATTGCCCATTCTTTAGACAATTTCAATAGGTTTCATTGTTATATTTTCATACATGCAAATCAACAGTATAGACCATATTTATTTACCCTCATTTATCCTCTTTTTAACCCATTTCCCACCACCTGAGTCTATTTTACTTTCCTGTCATTTTTAATATATTAATTGCACCATTTAACTGTTATTTCAGATGTGCAAATATTATGTTCTGCTCAAAATAACTCTATTGCTTTCTTTTCTTACACCTTATCAAGGCCCTATTCACCAACAGCTCTCATTCAGGTTTCTTAAGCAATACTCTTACATAATTTCAATATTATTTCTATACCATTCATTCTAAATCATTCATAGTTTCACTGGTTATTTCTCAATCATCTTTTCCCATTACTTCTCATCTTCCTTCATAACCCCATAGTTAGAATCATGTCATATATATATATATGTGTGTGTATATATGTAAATGTGTCCCCAAATATGTATTTTTAGGTCTAGATTTCACATGAATGAAAAATATACTTGGCTTTTGGAGCTTGACTTATCTTGCTTAATATTATCCAATTCCATCCATTTTTCTACAAATGATACTTTTCTTTATAGCTTTGTAATACCCCATGGTATAGAAATACCATAATTGTTATATCCATTTATTTGTTATTGGGCACCTCAGCTGATTCCATTAGATTATCATAATTCTAATATAGTACTGCAACTAATATGGGTATGAAAGATTCTTTATTGTATATTGATTTATTTATGTTTGGATAGATGCCCAACAGTGTTATGGCAGTCTCTTTCTAGTAAGTCTCTAGTTTTCTATGTAAGTCTCTTTCTAGTTTTTTGAGGAATCTCCATACTAATTTCCATAATCATTGTACTAGTTTACATTTCCAGCATCAGTATGCCAATTTCTTTTTCTCCCATACTCTCACCAGCATGTTTTCCTGATGACTGCCATTCTGACTGGAGATGGAAATCTTACTGTAGTTTTGATTTGCATTTCCTTCATGCAAAGGATGTTGGACATTTCTTCTTTTATTAGTCATGTATATTTCCTGTCCTAAGAAATATCTGTTCCAGGACTGGGAAGGTAGCTCAGTGGTAGAGCGCTTGCCTTGCATGCATGAGGCCCTGGGTTCGATTCCTGAGTACCACATAAGCAGAAATTTTTTTTAAAAAATCTGTTCCAGGGGCTAGGAAAGTGGCTCAGTGGTAGAGTGCTTACCTTGCATGTATGAGGTCCTGGTTTGATTTCTCAACACCATATAAACAGAAAAAGCCAGAGGCGGCGCTGTGGCTCAAGTGGTAGAGTGCTAAGCCTTGAGCTGAAGAGCTGACGGACAGTGCCCAGAGTTAAGGCCCCACAACCGACCAAAAAAAAAAAAAAAAGTTCTGTTCCATTTGTTTGCCCATTTACTAGATTATTGTTTATTTGCTGTTCCAATTTTTGTTTTGCTTTTTAGTGCTGATCCTAGGGCCTGAGGCATTGTCCCAGCTAAAGGCTGGGGCTCTATCACTTGAGCTACAACTCTACTTCTCACTTTTGGTGGCTAACTGGAGATAAGAATCTCACAGACTTTTCTACCCAGGCTGGCTTCAATCAACAATCCTTCAGATCTCAGCCTGCTGAGTAGCTAGGATTACAAGAATGAAACAGGGACACCTGGCTTGCTGTTCAGTTTGTTTTTTGGTTCCTCATACATTCTGAGTATTAATCCTTTATCTGCTGAATAGCTAGTGATTTTTTCCCCCAAGTCATGGTTGTCTTTTGTTTCTGGAAATTATTTCATTTGCTATAAAGATACTTTTCATTTTGATGTACTCCATTTCCCAATACTTGTTCTTTGTTTTCAAAGCAACTGTAGTCTCAACCAGAAAATAATTGTATTTGTAATTTTCAGAGTTTCCCATGTACTAAAGTCTCAGGTTTTGCTTTAAGTTCCTATATTCATGTGGATTTTGTGTGGGTGCATGTGTGCGTGGGGGAAGGGGGACAGTACTGGGGCTTAAATGCCATTCTTGAGCTTCCTGAGCTCTTTTGTTCAAGGCTAGTGTTCCACCACTTGAGGCACAGCTTCACTTCTGGCCTTTTTGGTGGTTCATTGGAGGTAAAAGTCTCAGGAACTTTCCTGCCTAGGCTGGCTTTGAACCATGATCCTCAGATCTCAGCCTCCTAAGTAGCTATGATTACAAAAGTGAGTCACTGATGCCAGACCCTGGAGTTCTGTACAGCATGAAAGATAAAGGACAGGTTTCAATTTCCTTCAAGTAAATAACCAGTCTTCCAGGAA